GAACCTGAGACCTCATGGTTCTCACCCACTTCATTGACCACTAGGCCACACCCTTGGGTGCTCACCATGTGACTACTTTAGAACTTAACTTTATATGATTAGTTATTCTTTAAACGGATTCCGTTCTTTAAATAGAGACGAATCAAAGTAAAATCAAAGACTTTCTTCCAGCTTCAATTGTACTCCTGTAAATGCTTCAAGACTGACTCTCAGTGACTTAATTAGTATATTCCTCTTACTAACATCACATGAACACCACTTTTAGAGAGGAGCAATCAAAATATCGTCAATTTTTTGGAAAATTTCCACTGCAATAATCAAACAGTAAATGAAGCAGAACTTGAAACAAAGAGTTCGGACATATAATAATTACAAGAGTTGGCTTACCTGATTACACCAGAAAGTTACAGAACTCCCAATCTTCTTTTGACAGGTCAAAGTACTCAACACTGCCATCTTCAAACATGATCTGTTAGGGGATTGGGAGGACAAAAAAATATCTTCAGCCAAATCTAACCAAGTCCATTACACAACAAAAATTCACAGCTCCCTTACCAAATGTTTCTTGGCGATGGCATCAAACTGTTTTACAATTCCAAAGGACCTGAGAAGCATAGCATATTCAGGAGTCCCTTAAGCAATGGGTCTGGAAAAAGTAAAAATTGAACAAGCAAAAGAAAGAAAACCAAATAATAATGGGCCACTGTAGAAAGAGTTTCCTGTGAGAGTTCCTAGGATTGTAAATTCAACAATAGGGATGGATCTGACTTTGATACCATGTTAAGAAAATGAAATTTGGGCCTAACTTAACATCAAAAGCTAGCTCAACAAGTGAGAATTGTCCAAAATAAGAAGAAAACAACCCACTCCCGAAATCAATATGGAACATTCTAACACCCCTTATACTCTCGTGTAAATTGCAAAATAGTAAAACTCCATGATAAAACAAATATGCAAGAGTAATCACATACCTCCTGTCAAGAGAACGAATTATTCGTATAACTTGACCAATGCAATTATGAGGTCGCCTGATTTTTATGTCAGAATCATAACCCATACATCCTAAATAGGGAGATCCAAGTTAAATAGAAGAAAAGCTAAAATGACTAATTCAGAGATCATATAAGTTGCAAAACACAGAGCAGCCTACCTATTAAAGGAGCTCCAGTTTGATAAACCTGGTACAAAAGTTAAATAATGTTATCAAGTCCTTTATTGGAAAAGCAAATGTTCAATATTCAAGCACATACCATAAAATAATATGTTTTGTATTACATAGATTTGAAGGATTTATTACTTTCCTTTAAAGTTTCCCATTTAGGGAACATAACACATGCAACTCCTTTGATCCTTTTGACATAATGCAAATAACGGGGATACTAGGTAATTTCTTCCAATCTACCTAAGCCTTGGTGGGTAGAGTTATCCGATACCTGCGCTGTTTAGAGGTAGCAGATACCCGGTGGAATAGTCGAGGTGTGCGCAAGTTGGACCAGACACCACCGTCATAGAAAAAAAAAGGGGAGCAAAGTGGAGAGACAAATACAAAGGTAAGAAATAATTAGCTATAACATTTGAAAATACATATATGTATCAAGTATCAAAACAATCTTGTTTCTTTTCATCAATTTCATATATGAGATGACTAGATAACTAAGAGTTAGGGACTGAAAATGCCAAAATCACATCCTGACGGGTGAAGCTGTAGATCGTGGTTCCCAAGAATCTGTCTCCCTACATCATCTAATCTTGTACCGCTGAGCCACATATCTACAATCTTAACTCAGTAATGGCTCATAAATCCGAGTCTACCGAGAATACTGACCTCTACAAGCAAAACGAGACCATGCAGATCATCCAACTCAGAACACACTTCCTGAAACATCCCCCC